CATTGATCATTATAGCTTTATCTTAGATAATCACCAATCGAAAGGGATTTTTTTTTGTTTACTGTAGTTTAGAGTGTGATGGTTTTTATGATAAGGATTTGATGTTCCCAATTATTGATCTTCGAAGGAATCTTTTTAACTTTAATATCATCTCTTTACTTAGAATATTGATTAGGAATAGGATACATAAATTATTACCACACCATACTGATTTTAGGTCCCATTTGTGACAAAACATAAAAAAGTTTTTAGTGATAATGTTCGAAGTGTCAAAAATATTAAATAATCATAAAACACAATTTCCAAGTTTTTGTATTCTCCTTCTCTTTTTGATATCAGTTCTTACTAATCAAACTTCTAATAATTGAACATTAGTCTCTTACCAATCGGTAAGGAAATGCCATATTTTACCATATATGACAATCGTAAATGATAATCATAAAATATACTTACCCGTGAAATATTTATGTGTTGAAATAATATCCTCAATTTATATTTATATATTTTAGATGAATTTTAAAGAAATTTTCTGTTATTTTTTAGTGAGTCGTATATTCAAATATCATATCTTATATTTAATCGGATCTGGATAAAAAGATCCACTTCATTAAAAACGGGTCATGTATTATTATGATCTGTTTTTTTTTCTTTTGGGTTAAGTTTAGTCCTTTTTATTTTTTTAACACATTAATAATAAACATAAACAACTCTATATATCATTTTCATATATTAAGCATAAATTTATAAACAATTGTTAAATATATATAAATTTATAAACACTAATAAATTTTTTTGGCACTTTGCCAAATTAATAGCACGAAGACTCCCTAAAAAGATGATGTGATATTTGTTTTTAAAAAATTATTTTTATTGTCATGCGGTGTACCATATATCTATAAATCATCTTAAAAATAATAATTTTTTATTTAGTAAAAATATAGCCCCGCGGTGTACCGCGGGTTAATTTCTAGTACATAACAAAACACATGACTATATTTAAAAATATATAATCAAAAATATGAATTAAATACATCGTATGTCTATATGTACTAACTATATGTATTTCTAGGAGTTTGGGTTAAGAAGATGAATGTGACACCTTCTTTTCTTAATCTTTTCTTAATAGTTAATGTTAATCTGCAATTAGGTTAATTAGGGTTGTAAATGGAGGAGTTTGGGCTTTGTATTTCATCACTTGTACTTGCCTACTGGGCTTTTATCAATGAAACTCTTGGTCGAAAAAAAAAAAAAAAACTATATAACAAAAATGTCGTTAACATCACGAACATCTTAATCTGGTACCATTGGTTGGAATTAAGCGTTAATCATAACTAATCGGTGTTGACCAACAAAAAAAATTAAAGTAAATGTTTTATCAATAAAAAAAAAAGTTAATTCTTCTATAATTGACAACTAGATTTTAACTCGCGATACACCGCGGGATGATTTAATTTTAAAGTTAGTATAAAAATATTTTGTAAATTGTATCTCCTTATAACATATTATTTATATTATAGTTTACAATTGTTATTAAGTAACGGTATACCACGAGTCCACGAGACAATTATTAATAAACTGAGGATTTAACCCGTATTAAAGCGGTATATAAATATTGATTCAAATTCGTCTGCCATATAAATCCTTTCCAAAATATAACCCGTTCTGTAATTTCTTAACCCGTCCCGTGATTTGTTTTTATTTTAAAATATAATGATTATTTTTTATATATAAAAGTTTACAAATTATATCACCCTCTAAAACCACGGGACATTATACCACGTGACAATTTTTGGTTTTATACAATCTTTTCTAAATGAGACTGATTTAATATTTCTAATATATGTGGATTAAAAAAAAGGATTTAATCCGTATTGAAGCGGCGGATTATGATATTTAAATCTTTTTATTATTATTGATTCAAAAACTCGTCCCGCCAAACCCATCTGGCCAAAAAACTCATTTACTTTATTAATGTTTTTATTTATGATATGATTCTGAATCATTGTCTAAATATTTTAATCGATGTTGAACGTTGAACACACATTTTCGTCAATTAGATAATATACGTCCGTTTTTAAAATTTCGAATCATAGTATATGCAGAAAAAAAATTGATTTTTTTTTTACTTTATGTATTATATGATGATTCAAAACAGTTAAAAACAAATCAAACAAAGATGATAGGAGAATCATAATTATAAATCTTAATCAAATCTTCTAAATATCTAAATTAATAAATATTTTAATCTTTTTATTATTGTTGATTCAAAAACCCGTCCCGCCAAACCCGTCTGGCCAAAAAACTCATTTATTTTTTTAATGTTCTTATTTATGATATGATTCTGAATCATTGTCAAAATATTTTAATCGATGTTGAACGTTAAACACACATTTTCGTCAATTGGATAATATATGTCCGTTGTTAAAATTTTGAATCACAGTATATGCAGAAAAAAAATTGATTTTTTTTTTACTTTATGTATTATATGATGATTCAAAACAGTTAAAAACAAATCAAACAAAGATGATAGGAGAATCATAATTATAAATCTTAATCAAATCTTCTAAATATCTAAATTATTAAATATGGAATATCCTATGTATGAGTTGGGTTAAATATAACCCGATCCAACAAATTTTTTGTGAAAGAATTTTGAAAACGGGTCGGGTAACCGATATACCCGGAAGCATTTTTATCCACCTGTCACCAAAGTGTTGCAAAAATACTAGTATATATGTAAATATAAGCAATTACATAATTGATTATAATATGATATTTTATGGTTTTAATTTAAAGTTTAATATCTTATAAATAAAATTATTAATTTTGATTCCAATGTGATCATGTGAGATCTGAAGAGTGTACACATATTACCCAGTATTCATTGGTGGTTTTTACGATCTTATGGTTTCCGTAGATGGTTTTTTTTTTTCAATCTGTAGTAGTTAATCTTTAACTAAATCGTGGTCCTGAACGGGTCTACCACAGCCACAAGTACGAAGTACCACTTTATGCTATGTAAACGTAAGTGATTATGAGATTCACATTATATTAGCTATTCTCAAATTTTATGAGTTATTATAGAACATAATCTATAGATTTTTGCTTTGCTTTCATGCACAAGACACAGCCAATAACTACATCAATTTCAAACTTTCATAGCTATATATTCATTGTATTTATACGATATTCAGGCTGTTGTTATTTTTATATCATCAAATATTGGACTATTTTTCTTGCTTAATACCTTACACCAACACCCTAATTTGAGAATTGTGATGATTTTCCCTGTCACGCAAAATGTCACATTTACTAGAAAAGTTTCCTATCTATTACAATACTAGATTTTATTGTATAAAAATATTAATTTTAAAGTTAGTATAAAAATATTTTGTAAATTGTATCTCCTTATAACATATTTATTTATATTATAGTTTACAATTGTTATTAAGTAACTGTATACCAAGAATCCACGATACAATTATTAATAAACTGAGGATTTAACCCGTATTAAAGCGGTATATAAATATTGATTCAAATTCGTCCGCCATATAAATCATTTCCGAAATATAACCCGTTCCGTAATTTCTTAATCTGTCCCATGATTTGTTTTTATTTTTAAAATTTAATGATTATTTATTATATGTAAAAGGTTACAAATCATATCATCCTCTAAGACCACGTGGCATTATACCACGGGACAATTTTTGGTTTTATACAATCTTTTCTAAATGAGACTGATTTAATATGTCTAATATTTGTGGTATTAAAAAAATAAGGATTTAATCCGTATTGAAGCGGCAGATTGATGATTTTTAATCTTTTTATTATTGTTGATTCAAAAACCCGTCCCGCCAAACCTGTCCGACCGAAAAACTCATTTATTTTATTAATGTTCTTATTTATGATATGATTCTGAATCATTGTCTAAATATTTTAATCGATGTAAAACGTTGAACACATATTTTCGTCAATTGGATAATATATGTCCGTTTTTAAAATTTCGAATCACAGTATATGCAGAAAAAAAATTGATTTTTTTTTTTTACTTTATGTATTATATGATGATTCAAAACAGTTAAAAACAAATCAAACAAAGATGATAAGAGAATCATAATTATAAATCTTAATCAAATCTTCTAAATATCTAAATTATTAAATATGTAATATCCGGTGTATGAGTTGAGTTTTATTTAACCCGATCCAAGTATTTTTTTTGTGAAGGAATTTTTTAAACGGATCGGGTATCCGATATACCCAGAAGCATTTTTACCCACCCGTCACCAAAGTGTCGCAAAAATACTAGTATAGATATTTGAAATTGTATAGTATAGTATGGTAGTATATGAATATTACATCTAAGATATTTAAAAAAAATGCTAAGAATTATGAAAATAGCCTAAGTTATATATTAAATTTTGAGAATAGTCAAAATTGTTTTTTATAATTTAACAAAAAATACTTGAGTTCACCCCTAGGGATGAACCCTTAGAGCATCCACAATGGTAAACTAGGGTGGGTGGGTGTTAGTGGGATTTTATTAATAAAATAATGTAAGAGTTGAAGTTTAGAAATAAGGTGTTAGGAGTTGATTATTGGTAGAACCTGTTTCTTAGGAATAGTTTAATAATATAATTAAGTAATTCATAAAACATTTTTTTTAAATTAAAAATAACATTTAAATTAAAAACATAAAAACAAACATATATATGTATTACCAATATTGAAGGAAAATGAATGAATTACCAAACATTCATACTATAAGTAATCTTCCTTGATGTTCAATGCATTGCTGGAGTTTCCCATCAGAAGACACAACTAGTCCTCTTACTTTTGCAGGTTTCGTTTTGTGTTTAATTTGGAGTTTTGGCATAGTCTTAATACAATTATGATCATCTTCTGAGTTTATCTGTTTCTCCCCTTCTTCCAAAAACTCAACCGCAACATCTCCATCTTCATCAACCCTTAGCCGTTTCACATACCAACTTAGCCCCTGATTAAATACATGAGGAAAACTATAATATAAGTGTGTGGTAGAACCAATATCCAAAAAGATAACGCAAAGCTCTTAACTAAGAAAAGTTCACTACTAATCGAGTGAACTAAATAGCTAGACAATCAAACATTAGAAAATCAAAGTAACAGGAGAAACCATAGGAGTAACAACAAAAACACAAGTGATACCGAGTCGTTGTCTAATGTCATAGCAAAGACAATGTGAACCTTTTTAGAGGCTATGATTATAGTTTCACTTCTAATACATACATATACTCTTTATTACCCGCTTTCAATCTCTCCATTAACACAAAGACCATGTAACACAAAAACCATAAGTGCAAGTGCAGCAGCTCCACGCTTTGTTTTGTGTGCGAATCATACTTCAAAATCAAAACACAACAACAACAATCACTCACAAAGCTAAAATCATCAATTCAAAAACATTGAATCATTTGACATTTGATATTACTTATCAATTAAAATCAAACATAACAACAATGACTCACTCAGCCAAAATCATCATCAATTCATTGATATGCATGCACCTACCATACAACGCGTGCTCCACAACTTGAATCCAAAAAAAAACTCTTTGTGGGATATCAAAGCACAAGGCCTTAAACGCTAACTCCTCATCCAACTAATTGTTATCATTTGCATCTAAACCCACAATTCTTGAACCGTAGGCCACATTTTAACTTCCCTATCCAACAACTACACTACGCTAAACACACAAAAGCTATCAAAGCAAACTCCAAAGCCAATAAATTTTAGAGAGAATGTGAGATGAAAACACAGACCTGGAAAATTAACCCAACAATAGTTGTTCCAGTCTTGAGAAACGACGGAGCTTTAAGACCCTTCTGTGTAAGCATATCATTCCTTTTGCACAAATCGAAGCTAAACCCACCTTTTGGCGGCAAATCAACAGACGACTGCGACATTTTTCCGATTCACCACTCTATAAATCACAAAAAAACAAATTATCAACCAATAAATCAAATCAAATCAAATAGTTGGGATCGAGATCGCTGAAGGATGAGTAAAATTGTGTTGGAGTCACCAAAATCGAGAAGATATAATCAACGGAGACGATAAGATGAAGAAGAAAAGAGAAAAGCTAAGCTTATAGAAGAATGATCTTACCTTGTCTTGAAGATTTTGGGAGAAGAAGGAAGCTCGAATCAGAGAAGAAGAGCTCGATTTTGAGAAGAGAACCGATTTATTTTTTCCCCCACAACTGAAAATAATTTTGCAATTAGAAATAAACATAACCAACCAGAATCTCACACGTGGCACTACACCTGAGTGTAACTTAACACTCGTGTTTCGCTTCTAAACGCACTGTTCCTTTATTTTCGGTTTTTTTAAGGGTGGTCTTATATTCATCTATTTTATTTCAACCAATCATAATCTGCTACCTAATAGTAATAATTTTTTTTTATTTAATTACAAAATCTAATTTGCCACTAAAACGGAATTATGTATCGGTTTGGGTTTATTAGAAAGGGCTAGGGTTTAGATTTTATGATTAAAAGAAATTAAATATCGGTTTGAGTTTATAAACAGATTTAGATTTTATAATTAAAGGAGGTTAAATGTCGGTTTGGGTTTAGAAAATACGATTAGGGTTTAGATTTTATGATTAAACGAGATTAAATATCGGTTTGGGTTTATAAAAAAGATTTAGATTTTACAAGTAAACGAAGTTAAATGTCAGTTTGGGTTTAGAAAGTATGGTTAAGGTTTAGATTTTTTACGATTAAACAAGTTTAAATGACGGTTTGGATTTACAAAGGAGAATTAGGATTTAGATTTTGTAATTAAACGAGATTATATATCGGTTTAGATTAATAAAAGAGTGGTTAGAGATTAAATTTAATAATTAAATAAGTTTAATATTTTTTATTATATGATGAATTCTGATTGGTTAAAATAAAAGAGAGTGAATAAAAAGATTCACTCCTAAGGGTGAACCCAAATATTGCTCTAATTTAACCATATACATATAGTGTAAATTATAACCTTGAAATTTAAACTTTACTCCTACATACCTGGATAATATTATTTTTTTTCATTTGAAAAATATTACACCTAATTTTATTTTTTATTCTTCTCCTCTTTTACAGCAAAAGTATGGAGATATATTTCCTAATCATCTCTATTTTCTTACCATCTTTACTCTATTTCTTTATCTACATTATACTATTGAGGAAATTTAAGTATCATAAGATATTGGAAGTACAACAAATTCATGCACCCAGCTATATATCTTACCTTTAAAAAAATAAACATCTGATAATAATAATAAAAAGTTAGAAAAATGACGTCAAAAAAAAAAAAGTTAGAACGAAGAAGTGTTAAACCCAACCATTTTTGATTTTGACTTGATAAAAAAAAAAAGCTTCAACGCTCCTTTTTCTCCTCCGTCGCTCTCCGCCGCGTCCAAAATCCCCAAATCCTCCCTCTTATCCGATCAATTCTTCCCAAGTAACCTTCCTCTTCTTCGTTTCTCTTCTCAGATTGTTTCGTAAGTTCTTCGTATATACATATATATTCTTCACTTCCACAGTTTTTTTTTTTTTTTTGGGTTCATATCGATCTCAAATCATAGAGATTGATTAACCTAATTGCTCTTGTTCTAGTGTAATGCAACGGTATTAGGAACTTTAACCTATGATTATCCGTGATTTGATCGTTAATTTCAAGATTCGGATTTTTCGAGACTGAGAAAAAGCGATCACCTGAGTTATAAATAAAAAATGGAACCTAATTTTTGTAGTCGTTGTGATCGAATTCGATTCTCACAGACTTTCTAGTTCCTAAGGTGTATGCAGTGATTTAAGAAGCGATTTCGTTGTTGATAATGTTTTTGTGTTGTTTGTTTAACAGGTGTGTGTGTGTGTGTGTGTAATTCATAATGGAAGTCTGCAATTGTATTGAACCGCAATGGCCAGCGGATGAATTGTTAATGAAATATCAATACATATCGGATTTCTTCATTGCGATTGCGTATTTTTCTATTCCTCTTGAGTTGATATACTTTGTGAAGAAATCCGCGGTTTTTCCGTATAGATGGGTACTTGTTCAGTTTGGTGCTTTTATTGTTCTTTGTGGGGCGACTCATCTTATTAACTTATGGACTTTCACTACGCATTCGAGAACCGTTGCGCTTGTTATGACTACTGCGAAAGTGTTAACTGCTGTCGTCTCGTGTGCTACTGCGTTGATGCTTGTTCATATTATTCCTGATTTGTTGAGTGTTAAGACCCGGGAACTGTTCTTGAAAAATAAGGCGGCTGAGCTTGATAGGGAAATGGGATTGATTCGAACTCAGGAAGAAACCGGACGGCATGTTAGAATGTTGACACATGAGATTAGAAGCACGTTAGATAGACATACTATTTTAAAGACTACACTTGTTGAGCTTGGTAGGACATTAGCTTTGGAGGAGTGTGCATTGTGGATGCCTACTAGGACTGGGTTGGAGCTACAGCTTTCTTATACACTTCGTCACCAACATCCCGTGGAGTATACGGTTCCCATTCAATTACCAGTGATCAACCAAGTGTTTGGTACTAGTAGGGCTGTAAAAATATCTCCTAATTCCCCTGTGGCTAGGTTGAGACCTGTTTCTGGGAAATATATGCTTGGGGAGGTGGTCGCTGTGAGGGTTCCGCTTCTCCACCTTTCTAATTTTCAGATTAATGACTGGCCTGAGCTTTCAACGAAGAGATATGCTCTGATGGTCTTGATGCTTCCTTCAGATAGTGCGAGGCAATGGCATGTCCATGAGTTGGAACTCGTTGAAGTTGTTGCTGATCAGGTTTGACATTTCCTGAGAAGTTCTCTTCTTTGCTATGTTCATGATCTTGTCTAAAACTTTTTTTCTTTTACTCTAGGTGGCTGTGGCTCTCTCACATGCTGCGATCCTAGAAGAGTCGATGCGAGCTAGGAACCTTCTCATGGAGCAGAATGTCGCTCTTGATCTAGCAAGACGAGAAGCAGAGACAGCAATCCGTGCCCGCAATGATTTCCTGGCAGTTATGAACCATGAGATGCGTACTCCGATGCATGCAATCATTGCACTCTCTTCCTTACTCCAAGAAACGGAACTAACCCCTGAACAAAGGCTGATGGTGGAAACAATACTTAAAAGTAGTAACCTTTTGGCAACTTTGATGAATGATGTCTTAGATCTTTCAAGGTTAGAGGATGGAAGTCTTCAACTTGAACTCGGAACGTTCAACCTTCATACATTATTTAGAGAGGTAACAGTATTTCTTTACAGCATTTCTTTCCTCTTTCGTGTCATTGTTTGAACAGCTTCATGTTTTAAAAGTTGTATGTGCACTTGATTGATAGTTCTGAATCTTGTTGCAGGTCCTGAATCTGATAAAGCCTATAGCGGTTGTTAAGAAATTACCCATCACACTAAATCTTGCACCAGATTTGCCAGAATTTGTCGTTGGGGATGAGAAACGACTAATGCAGATAATTTTGAATATAGTTGGTAATGCTGTGAAATTCTCCAAACAAGGTAGTATCTCCGTAACCGCTCTTGTCACCAAGTCAGACACTCGAGATGCTGACTTTTTTGTCGTGCCAACTGGGAGTCATTTCTACTTGAGAGTTAAGGTTAGTATCTTTCACAAGCAGCTTGTATCTTGGGATCTTAAACCATAACTGAACTTGTTTCTTAGGTCTTAATTTTGACGATTATTTAAATATAGGTAAAAGACTCTGGAGCAGGAATAAATCCTCAAGACATTCCAAAGCTTTTCACTAAATTTGCTCAAACACAATCTTTAGCGACGAGAAGCTCGGGTGGTAGTGGGCTTGGCCTCGCCATCTCCAAGAGGTTTAAGCCTTATTTAAAAACTGTTATTTTCTTTTTATATTTTCTTGTCTGGTATTGATAGAAGTTTGCTCATATGCGTTTAATATGACAAGGTTTGTGAATCTAATGGAGGGCAACATTTGGATTGAGAGCGATGGTCTTGGAAAAGGATGCACAGCTATCTTTGATGTTAAACTTGGGATTTCAGAGCGTTCAAACGAATCTAAACAGTCGGGCATACCGAAAGTTCCAGCCATTCCCCGACATTCAAGTTTCACTGGACTTAAAGTTCTTGTCATGGACGAGAACGGGTTAGTATAAACCTCTCACCTTTCTCCTTGCAAAACTCTCCGCTTACTTCTTGCAAATGCAGAAATTGGCATTTAGAAAAAACCGCAAATTTAATCTTATGAGAAACTGCTGATTATTTTGTTTGCAGGGTAAGTAGAATGGTGACAAAGGGACTTCTTGTACACCTTGGATGCGAAGTTACCACTGTGAGTTCAAACGAGGAATGTCTCCGAGTTGTATCCCATGAGCACAAAGTAGTCTTCATGGACGTGTGCTTGCCCGGGGTCGAAAACTACCAAATCGCCCTCCGTATACACGAGAAATTCACAAAACAGCGCCACCAACGGCCACTACTCGTTGCACTCACTGGTAACACCGACAAATCCACAAAAGAGAAATGCATGAGCTTTGGTCTAGACGGCGTGTTGCTCAAACCCGTATCACTAGACAACATGAGAGACGTTCTGTCTGATCTTCTTGAACGCCGGGTTCTATACGAGGGCATGTAAAGGCATTGCCCCGGCCTCTAGAGGAGTAATTCCGCTCCCAGCTTTTCCTCCCATAAAACATCGGAAGCTGATGTTCTCTGGTTTAAATGTGTACATATCAGAGATTGTGGGAGCGTTTTGGATGATTATCTTAAAACACAAAGGGAATAACAAAATAGAAACTCTAGACCGGTTTGTGTCGTGGCGATTCCGGTTAGAGAGGAACAAGATGTTGGTGGTATAATCATACCATTTCATATTAAATGTTTGACTGATGTTGTATCTTTATATATATAGTCACATTCTTATGAGAATTTGGATCGAGTTATGGACGCTTATTAGTGATTGCGTGCATGTGTGTTATTAAAGTTTTTGATGCGTTATTGTAACGTCAATATAAATGGAAAAATGCCACCAAAAAAAAAAAAATTCCTTAAGTCCGGAAACCATAAGAACTAAAAATGATTTAGAAAATCACAAAAGACTTTATATTAGGATTTTATTATAGAAGTATTTTATTTGAAATAATTAGATTAGATAAGTTAGGATAAAGATTATTACATTAAACTATTCATCAAAAAAAAAGATTATAACATTAAACTAAATAAATATTGTATTGGTAGTATAATAAGCTTCAATTTTTCTCATATATAAATTAAAATATAATTTTATTTTTATAGTTTTTGTGTTATTCAAAATTTTACATCTAAAAGAACTACGAGACAAATTCTTGTAGATTAGT